TTGGCTGGCAATATCAGCGTGAGGAGGGGAGTAAAACCCAGCGCATCCTGAGCGCCGTCCTGTCCCAGCACCCACTGTGGCCCCGTCTTCTTGGATTTCCTTCATTCACCAAAAAAACCCCCAAACCAACCCCAAACCCTCAACCCCACGTATCTGGCTCTGAATCTCCGCGCCGTGTTGAATCATGTGGGCATCAGCCACGTTTCTCCCTGACTCACCGATCCCAGCATGCTGGGGTGAGGGTCAAGACGAGACCGGCAATAAACATCCTGGGAAACCAAGCCTGCATCTCTTGGCATAGCCAGGAACTTTTTTTTTTTTTTTTTTGCTTTCAATCTTCTCTTAAGGAGCTGCTTTCTCATAAATATCCCATCCTTTAGCACAGTCTGAGCAGGAAAGAGGCTCCCAGCGGGGTCATCCCGCGCTCCGCTCTGCAGCAGTGAATACAGAGTAGGGCCGAGAGCGAACCCCTGGGCGCAGGGGATAGCCCGCTGCCTCGGCAGAGGCGTCCAGGTAAGGCTTGCACCCCTTCTTTGACGGGGCAGGAGGAACGCCGCCTTCCTCCTCCTCAGCCTCTCGCACCCAGCGGTGAGGCAGGCGTGCTGCCCCTGAGCTGGGCAGGGGATGCAGGGGGAGCGCGGGGTCCAGCCTTCCTCATCCTCCTCCGCCTCCAGGTACCAGCCCAGGGCCTGAGCATTTAGGATGGCTGGAGACTTGCCTGCAGGCTCAGGGGCATGGGAGAGGACTGGCAGGGTCAGGGGGGAGCCGAGGCAGGAGCTCTGTGGGGCTGAGGATCTGTTCCTCTGGCAACTGGCCCAGCCTTGGGCTTAATTAACGGCAGCTTAAGGGGTTGAAAGGTGGGAAGAGTGGCATTGCTCTTGAAGCCGCACTGGTGGTGGGGAGGAGGAGGAGGCAAAGGGGATGAGCCACAAATCATAATTGATTCGTTTAGGGCAGCGTCTTGCCTGGAATGAATCGAAGGGACTGTAATTAGTTGGTAGCTGGCGTGGCCTCCTTGCTGCCCATTGTTACTGGAATGAAAGCCCAGAGTCACTCTGGCTTGTGCTGGGGCTGGCTGGTGGCCTGGGAAGCATTTTGGGAGGGATCTGCGCACCCCTGCTCCACTCCATGCTGCAGTGTGGTGGTGGCGGAGTGGGGAGGCTTGCTGAACCCGCCCCTGTTGCACCCATGTCTGTTATAAGGCTAATTGGAGGAGCCAAGTCAAGTAGGGATGCAGCAGACGGGCATTGTGGTGAGCTGGTGGATTCTCAGTGTCTGGCTGCGGTTGGGGGAATGATCCCACAATGTTTTCACTAATGTTCCTCTGTTATTGTGCTGCAGAGGGCCTGGTCCTTCCTCTTCCTCACCTGGCTGGCTGGAGGGCTCCTGGCAATGCACCTGTGAGAGCCTGGGCCAAAAAGTGAGCCCTGTGGTCATGGTAGTGCCTGGAGGGTGGGGAAGTCCGTGGTGAGGTGTTGCCAGGCTGCACCAAGGGAGCAGCCCTTGCCCAAATGAGTTCATGATTTATGTCATTAAGGGCTTGATTTTTTTTTTTTTTTTTTTTGAGCTGCCCCAAGTGCTCCTGGGTGCTGCGCAGGGCAGCAGCCACTGTTTGCAGAGCAGGTTGCTGGTGGTGGTGAGGTGGATGGGGAAGAGCATCATGGGGACATGGGGTGTCTTGTGACACCGGTGGGAGCTGCAGGTGCTCTTCCTGCGGGGAAGGCCCTGGGGAGCCCTTCGGACACGGGGTTGAATGGGGGGCGTGGGGGATCCTGTGTGTGAACAGCTCGCGGGGTGTGCTGAGCGGTGAGACTGGTGCTCTGCCTGTTGGGCAGGGAGGACACTGGGGATGCCCCTGGGGAGCTGTATGTCCCCTGTGTGTGCACAACGGCTGGGTGGGTTTGCCCAAAGGCAGATGGGCAGGCAGCCCCTGCGCCAGGGTGCAGCCCAGCCCGGGGGACCCCGAGCATCCCCGGGTGACCTTGGCACCTGCATGGCCATGGAGGCGAGGGCACAGCACCAGCTGAGTCCCAGGTTCTCTGCCTGTGGGATGGCCAGGGGATGCGGGATCAGTGCTAGCCTGGCCCCAAGGCCAGCCCCCCGCACCCCTCCTCGGCAGCTGCTGCAGGGACACATCCAGACCGGGTTGTTTACACCTCTCCAATGAGCTGCTGCTTCTTCTGGCCAACGTCAAGCATCAAAAAGAAAATATCGAGGCGAGGTGGGCTAAGGAGGCTGATCAGTATGCGAGTGAGCAGGAGGGCTCTCCCCAGGCAGCTGCTGGCATCGGGGCGGCTCCGGCGGGGAACCGGGAGCCCCAAAGTTTCCCAGGGATGGGGGGATGGTGCATGTGGACGGAGACATGCTCGGGTGTGGGCTGAGATGGGGTGAGCCTCTTGCCTCCCCTGCAGGCAGGGGGGAGGCAGACCCCCCCCTCTTCGCCCCCCCTTGCCCCCCGGTTTAGCCACTCACCTAGGAAAACCATGTGCCAGAAAGCCCTCTGCAGCTGGGGCGGAGGGGGGGGCTTCTTGCAGGGTGGGGGCTCCCCCATTGCCTTTGTTCCCTTCAGACCCTCCCCTCGCCTCTGACTTTCCTTTGCGGCAGCTCCCGTGCTTGCCAAAAGAATGCACTGGATGGAGCGAGGGAGCGAGCCGGGCGTGCGTGCGTGTGTGTGTGCGCGCTTGTGTGCGCGTGTGTTGCCACTGACTTCATTAAAGCAAAGCTGTCCCCGAGCTGCAGAGGCGCGGCAGCCTTTAATTTCTTGGCCCGGCTCCTGCGGGAAGCCGGCGTCGCCTTTGCGCGCTCCTGCCCCGGCAGCGAAGGGCTGAGCATCCCTACCACCGCCGCAGGTCCTGCCTGGGGGCTCTGCCCGCCACCCCTGCCCGCTGCCCGGGGGAGCCGGTGGATGGGTGGCCGGGCTCTGGCAGGCTGCTGAAGATGGAGTCGGCGGGAGGAAGTTGGACACTTGGCTCCAACTAGGCTGGACCACGCTGCAACCTGTTCCCCCGGCCTCCCCTCCGCTGCGCTGGGTGCTGTACCAAATTGCGTCTTCCTTTGCGACGGGGCGGATGGAAGGACTTGGATCCCAGCGCTTTCCCTGCCTGATCTCTGCCGGCAGGCAGTCCCTGGGCTCAGGCTTGCCTTGCTGGGGGGTGGTTAAAAGGGGCTGGGGTGGGCTTGCAGGCAGAGTGGTGGGAACTGCCCACCATGCTGCTGCCGCCTCCCCTTCTCCACACGGGTCCCTGCTCCCTGGGAGGGATGGAGGAGAGACAGAGCTGAGCATCACCCGGAGAGGAGGAGGGGGCTGTGGTTGGGACTGCACCCTGCAATCCCCCCCTCCCTCTTCTCCCCCCCTCCGCTGCCTTGGTGGTGCTGCTTTGGCTCACCTGTGTGTTTTCTTCCAGGATGGCTCGCTTTGGGGAGGCAGTGGCCGGCAGGCTGGGCTCTGGAGATGGGGGCTCTGACCAGAACCGGAGCCGGCAAGGACCCCCTGCTCCTGCAGGAGGGACCCCGGGAGCCTTCAAGCAAACCAAAGCGCAGAGAGCCCGGACTATGGCTCTGTACAACCCCATCCCCGTCCGGCAGAACTGCTTCACCGTCAACAGATCACTCTTCCTCTTTGGGGAAGAGAACATAGTCAGGAAATACGCCAAGAAGCTCATCGACTGGCCATATCCTTTCTGCGCCCCCTGTGAGCCCCCCCCTTGCTCCCTGGATTTGCCTCGGTGGCCGCCCAGGACACGTGCGTGTGGCACTAGCCGGCAGGTAAGTGCCTGCCTTCTGCTCTCCTTCGGCGTGCGGAGAGGGGTGCCCTGTCCCCCGGGGATGCTTTCCTTGCCCTGTTGCTGCTTCCCCCTCCTGTGTGCTGCTTGGTTCATGGGGGGGAGCTGAGCCCCTTCTCCCCATGGGGAGCCCACCCTGGCCCTCCTCAGGTGTGGATTTGGAAGCCCCATATGCTGGCAAGGGGGGTGTCTCTGATCCCAGTTTAACCCTGCATGCTTTAGGGCGCCTTGCGCGCGTGAGGAGGGTTGGGGGGTAGCGGCCTTTTCTCTGTGCCTCAGTGTCTTGCTGGAGTTTTGTCACCCCACCCCACCTGAAGCCACTGATCCCATTGGGGATGGACCCCCAGGAGCCCATGAATCTCCAGACCCTGCTGGGTGGTGGCTTTGTTCTCTCCTGCACCTGCTGGCGAGTGGCCCCTTTGCTGCTGATCAGACCTGCCTAGGGCATGGCCATCCTCACCCTGCAGCCCCTGGCCCCCCATGGCGGCTCTGGGAACTGGCTGCCCCCTCCCTGCGGCAGAGGTGAAGATGCTGAAAACCTCTGGCTGTGCCCCACAGCCCCCTGGGGAGCTGGTGCTGGGGACCACAGTTTAGCCCAGAGACCCCCCTCCTGGGGCTGGGTGGAGGGCACAGATCCCCCCCGCTCCTTCCCTTGCTCCTCCATCCTTTCATACACCCCCGCGTGCTTCTCTTCCATCCCACCCGCCCTGCAGGTGCCCCCGGGCACCCTGGCCGGTGCCCAGCACCGCAGCACACAGCTCCCCATCAGCCCGGGCTCAGCACCCTGCTGACCCTCGAGACCCCTCCTGGGCTTTGCTCCCACTGAGGACCTGAGCCTGAAAACTTCAGCGTGGCCATGCTTTGGCTTTAGGACCCTCCCTGTGCTGTTTTCTGCAGTGGTGATTACATGCAGCTCTTGCCGCTGCTGCTTTCTCTCCCTGCAACTTGTTGGTTAACTTGCCGGCTCCTCCGGCAGGCGCGGGAGAGCTTGCCCCAGTGCCAAGCAGCAATGCCTTGGTCTGCTGTAACAGGTACCTCGGGGAACACTCCCGCGAGATGCAGGGATGCAGGATGGGTCACCCACCCTGCTGAGCATCACTGGGGAAATAGCCCATTTGCAGTTTTGACACGTTGGGTGGAGCCTCTGCTAGGCAGAAGCTCGTCCTGGCAGGGGAGCCGCAAAGCCCCCAGGCTTGGAGGGATGACCTGAGGCTGAAGGGGCAGCTTGGGGCAGCTGAATTCCTTGTGGCATCCCCAAATCTGCCCCTGTCGGCAGCGCCCACTGGGTGGGCAGCTGCAGGAGCATTGGTGCGGTAGCGAGGATGGGGATGTGGCAGCTGGGGACTGCAGGACAGAGGGGCAGGCCAGCCTGCCTGCTTTCCCAGAATACGCCAAAATATTTGTGTGCTTTTTCAGCGTGGTTTGGGAGGGCCCTCACCCCTTTGGCTTTCATTTAAAGCAAGAGGGAGCTGGGGTGCTGCTGCTGGCCCAGCGCTTCCCGCGTGGGCCAGGGTCCCGTGCCGGCGTGATGTCTCATCTCCAGGCAGCCGCTGTCTCCTAGAAACTAGAGCTTCACCACCGCGTGGTAAAAACTCCCCAGCATTATTCCTGCATGGCATCTACAATGCATGAGGGAGGTGGGCTCATCTTATATTTTTGTCCAGAAGTAAGTGACATATCCCTGTGTGAGTGCTGGGAACGGGCGTGCTCCAGGCACGGGAGCTGAGCATCCCTGGCCATGCCCTGCCTAGCTGCCATCTATTTCCAAATAAACTCATCCACCCTGGAGCTCTGCTTGAGCTCTCGAGGGCTTGGGGATGGGCAAGGCTTTTTGGTGATGAGTTTGGTGACGTTGGCCAGGCAAGTTCTTCCCATCCTTAGAGTTGTAGCCTGGCACACGTGGCTGGTGCCTTTCGGTAGGGCCAGGGAAGATGTGTGAGCATCTCTGCTGCCTGGCCTGGAGCCCATGGCATCGCTCCTGGGCAAGGGTGAGGGCAGTTTGGGGAGGTGAGTGTTGGCTTTCGGCCACAGTCAACGAGAGCTGCTGGTCTCTGGAGGGAGATGGGCTAGTCCTGGCGCTGTGGGTCAGAGTGGGCACAGCACCAAGGAAAGCCAAGGGTGCTGGGGTGGAGTGCGGGGAGGAGAGGAGGCTCTTCTTCATCCAGCTCCAGTTGACTAGGTAATAGGGCTAAAAATAACTGGTGATTCAGGCCTGTATATCTGCTGGGTAACTGTATAATTATAACTAGCAGCCTCTGCAGTTTGGCTTCCCAGTGTAAATAGGGATGATGCATGGAGGAGAAGGAGGAGAAATACGAGCAACTGGGATTGGGATGCAGCTCCCTGGGGAGACGAGTCTTTGCTGAGTTCCTTGCTGGAAAGACCAGTGCGTTTCCTCCGCTGGAGCTGCTCTTTTCACTGGTCCTGCTCAAAATGGGAGGCAGCTTCTTGTTTGGCTGTAGGAACACCTATTCCTCTTCTCCTTCAGAAACAAAGCCTCGTCCTGCCTGCTCTCCTTCTGCTGATGGCCAGGCCTTTAGCCCTGATTTCATTTGTATGGCTGCCTGGAAAGCTGCAATTCAGTTAGCACATGAGATGGGCTGCAGCTCATCTATATCTGCTCGGTTCTTCATCCGCTTAATCACATTTGACCTGGATAAGATCCCTCTCCTGCCCCAGAAAGGCCAGATGACATTGCGTGGCTCTGGCTCTGTCCCCATGGACAGCCTCTGGCTGCAGGCACACACCGTCCACTGTACCTGTCCCCCCAGTTTGACGGAGGAGAGGGATGTCCATCAGTCCTCTGGGGACCTTGCTGTTCCTTGCAGCAAGGGCTTTCTCCTATCTCAGCCCCTTTGAGGACCAAATCTGGTGTTGCGCTGGCCAAGAGCAGCTGGGGTGTCTGCAAAGCCCCGGTGCTCCTCCCCAGTCCAGCACCCTTGGAGATTTTGCTCCATGGGATGCACACCTGCGCGTGCCTAAGCCGTTTTGCTCGTGAAGACTCCCACTTTGACCTGGGCATCTCTGATGCTGCGTGGGTGCTGCCCCTTGGGGACCCTGGCAGTGTTATGCCACATCTGAGCAATTATCTTCTGCACCTTCCCTTTTGCCCAGCCAAGATTTTGGCAGGTCACACCTCCCGGTGGGAAGAGCTGTGCCATGTTGTGCTGTCCTTGGGCAGCTCCCCTCCTTGCACTATCCAAGAACATCTTTTATTTTATTTTTTTTTTTTCCTTTCCCTCCAAGGCTGTTTTCTGTGCCCTTCATTCATCAGATTTTTTAAAATGTTTTTTTTGGGGAGGGGCGAGTAGGTGTAATGGCAGGTCCATCTTTTTGACAGCCGGAGAGAGCGAGGCTGCCTGTCAGATGGTGAATTTAAACAGAGGCAGCTGTTGTCATGGTGATGCCAAGTTGCATCCTGTTGCTGTGGCAACCAAAGTTAAAAAACTGATGTTAAGGCAGGAAAATCACATGATGTAGTTCTTTTTGTTTAAAAAAAAAAAATGAGAAGAGGAGAGAGATGTGATTTCAAGCACAGAGTGAGATGGGGGAGAAGGAGATGCTTCTCCACGGAGCCGTTTGCACGTGGCAGGCGGGCGCCCCTCATCCCTATGGGAGTGGCAGCGGGCTGCTCTGCCCCGACGGGCTCCTGGCTGGCACTGCCTTCGGTTTAGCCCCTGATGGAGACCAGACCACCGTGTTTTGGAGTCAAACGAGAGATGCCCATGGCTGCAGATACCGAGTGGAGTCTCCTGAGTTGAGGCATGTCCGTGCCGTGGGGTTTAGGCTGGCTGAGCACCTCGCCTGGGTGCTCCCTGTGAGCAGCACAGAGGGTTGAGCGCAGCCCTGAGCCCACGCTCACTCTCCCAACCCTGGTTTGCTGTACGTGATGGGCATGCAGGAGCTGGCTTGCATCCAAAGCGTGGCCAGAGGATTTGGGGTCTGTTGGCACCTTGTCCCTCTGGATGTCACTTTGTCAACCCCAGCAAAGCACAGATGGGCTGGGAGCGCTGGGTGGCAGGGCGCAGGGATGGGGACAGCCATGAGGGGCCACAGCTCTATGGCTGCTTGAGGGCACTGGATAGCCTTATCTGCTGGGGAAAGATCCCCCATGTCCTCAGGGACAAGCCAGTGAGGTGCTGTAGGGATGGGGAACCCCAGAGTTGAATTAGGACCGCTCATGGTCTTTGCTCCATTTGGCATTTTGTGTTTCTCTTGGAAAACAGCCTTGGAAAGGAGGTGCTCACTTTCCTGCTGGGGTATGGAGCTGAGAGGCAGCGGGCTGGGGTGTCCTAGGGATGGGAATGTTGACGAGCTGGGTCTTTCTTCCCGTCACACCATGTCTGTGTGGGGCAGGCAGCGGTGGTGGGGTTGGGACCCCAGCAAGATGAAGTTTGCAGCTGTAGGAACTGAAGGTCCCTCTCATTGGCACCTGGGGAGCAGGGAAAGCCCCTCAGTGAAGCAGGTCCTGGGGGAAGCCTGGGGAGTGGTGGGAAACAGACTTAAGTTTCTAGGAGATGTTGGAGCTGGGGTGGGTGATGCAGGTAGGGTGAGGGGTTAAATCATTCCTGCCCTTCTTGCTGGCCCTCTGAGGCAGGGTAACCATCTGAGGTAGGCTTCAAGAGCTCTTTTAGAGATGCCCACATGGCCTCACTCCTCTGGCTCTTCTGCTCCTTCCCCACCTGCATGCCCAGGAGTGGGGGGAAGGTATGGTCACTGAAGTGGAGAGATGGAGAGGGGCTCTCCGCAGCTTCCAGCCCTTGCCCGCATCCGTAGAGGGATTTATCTTGCACCCAGGCTCTTGAGGAGGTTGCATCAGTGCACCACCAGCACCATAAATCCATCTTCAGGGCTTGGAGCTGGGCACACTCCCTGCGTTAGCAATACAGATGTTCTGGGTGGGCTGGTTTCGGCTCCTGGCTGGGGAGGGAGGTGAAGAGGCTGGAAGCAAGTATCCACCGGTGGCTGGACATCTCCCTGGTGCTCCCTGCCATCTCCTGCTGGCTCCACCAAGGAGCTCCAGCTCCAGAAATGGGGTTAGCTCACAGTGTCTGCTTCGGGTGGGCTGGGGCATGGGTTGGGGGGGGTGTCTATGTGGCCTGGGGGCACCTTCCCCACCTCACACGCACCGGGAGGGAAGCATGGAGCTGCAGGTGTGGCGTGCACTGGGATCGGCCGAGTTGCTAAGGAAACAAGTCAACGGTGCAGGGGAGAGAGCGTTGGGTAAAGGAGATAAATCAATAAGAAAACCTATTTTTATCGGCTCCCTAATGATCCTCCAGGAGAAGCCAGACAAAGGAGGAGGAGAAGGCTGGAGGGAGACGGGCTTTCATTACCGGGCTTGGAGGGAGGCGAGTGCTAGTCTGCATTTTGGGTGGCTGGAAGGTTGTGCAATTTGACATCTAATGAGAGGGGAAACAAAGGAGTGATAGAGCATTGTCCAGTGGGCTCCAGTCCTGAGCTGGGAGGATGCTTGCTTGGCAGAAGTGAAGTGTGTGGATGAAATTTCCCCTGGTTCAGCCAGATGTTCTTGCTCTCCGTTGGGAAGGGTTTTCTTACCCTTGGCCTCTCAAAACCTGGCACAGCTGGAGGTACAGAGGCTTGTTTCCACAAGGTTCCCTGTGATAACCCAAGCTTGGGTCCCCGAAAAACTGGGCCAGCGGGGTTTGGAGAGTCACTTTTGGCAGTGACCTCATGCTTAGGTCACCACTTAGGGCAGCGATTGCCCTGTATCCCTTAGACCTGGTATCTGCTCAGGGGTGGAGCGAGGACGCGGACTTGTGCTGGGCCTGTGACAGATGTGCACTGTCCTTGTGCTATTGAGCCAGATGTTGGAGCCAGCAAGGAAATATAGGGGTGAGCTGAGCCATCAGAGGTGGTCCTGAGTCCCCCAGCCACTGCCAGGCAGGGCTCCTGCGCTGCTGGTTTTGGAGAAGTGGGGCTTTCCCCACCTGGGTGCGTTCCCCATGAGACCAGCGGCCGCAGGA